ACCGCACCCAAGGTACATGCCCTTGACCGGAATCAAACCCGCGACTCATTGGTCTGCAGGCCGATGCTCTAACCACTGAGCTAAACCGGCCAGGGATGAAAGTTTCCTTTGATTTCAGCTGGTGAAGTTCTCGTTGGAAGTCCATTTCAGGAAGAGTTTTGAGCAGTCGTTTTCACGGTTGGTTAAAGGGTGCTGGTTGTTTTTCCCTAGCGAAAGGGACTGTTCCTTGGGCAAGTTGTTACAAGGATACTTACTCAGGCAAATAGACCCCCAGGCCAGTGACTGCCCCGTCTGTGCCAGCATGGATCGCCACCGGTACAGAAACATTCAAGTCACCTGTTTGGCCGTTCATGTTGGGAAGCGAGAACCGTCAAGCTGGGACTCCAGGTTCTTTTACAAGGTGACGTTTACGATGAGCGTGACTACAGAACCGTACACTTCCCTGGGGATTGCCACGTGAAGGGTTCTGAGACAAGGTGTGTCCTTCTCCAAAATCACACACATATAGCACGTGGCTCAAAACGTCAGGGGGGGGTGGATGCTTTTACACCCGTCCTTAGCCCCACAGGACTCCACAGACCCTTGGTTAAAAGCCCTTCTTTACAAGCACGTGCCAATACAGTGACATTATATCTATATTTAATCAATAAATAAACATATATATTTAATAAATTCAGCAAACATGAAACATGTCAGGCTCTGAGCTATGATTTCTACACAAAACCAAAATTAAATCAGATGCGATTTATTCCAAAGCTTCAACCCAACAGTGTGTAACTGCGCACTTCCTCTGTAACTGCGCACACTACATGCACACACACAAGGGGCCTCCATTCGGTAAGCCAACAGAATGCAGGTTTCCTGTTCCCTGTTCTGATATACCGGGTGGCAGTTTCGATATCCTGGGTGCACACAATGCATCGATGTGCACACATTCACACACACATTCACGCACGTGATTTGTAAACATGAAAGTGTCTGTTTCCTGGATGAGGACCTGTCCATTTGTCCTCAGGTGAATGTGGAAGCCAATAACAAATGCCACATTCAGTAAATATGTTCAAAACTTCCCCGTGAATGATTGTGATTGAGGTTGTAATTCAGCTTGTCTCTCAAGACGGAGGCAGTGCAGGAGAGAACAACGCCCCTATCATGACTGGAACCGCAACACACCCAGGTTTCACGGCACCATGTGCCGGAGACGTCTGTGCCCATCACAGTGCCTCGCAGGGCAGGGGCTTCCCGGGGCTTACCTCCCTCAAACACGGAGGCTTCAAATGAAACGGACAGTCATCATGAAATACCATCCAGGGAGCTTGGAAATGAGACTGAGACTGAACTTTCAATAAGAAACCCACACACGCTTTTGGCCCGTCCCATGGGGACCAGCAAGTAAGCTAGTGAGGAATTCCTCTCATGTCACGTGTCTCAGTGCCGTGGCTACAAAATTCCTAAACCCATTACAGTCAGAACAAAACACCTGTTCAAAGTAAATATTATTTGTGCATATTCCCTGCAGGATGTCGGACCTAGAATATAAACAACGAGCTCCATATACTTAAATTTTATACTCAATAGTAACAAAGAGATCAAGAGACTGGATTTCAATCAGGGAATGGGGAAGGAGATAATGTATAGATGCTGGAATTCTTGGAGTGGCTGACCAGCCTGGACCCTCATTTTGACTTAACACTCTCAGCTACATTTGCCAACACCTTGCTGCTGACTCTGAGCTCGCCCTGGGCTCTGTCCCTCCTCCTCCACCTCTCTGTTTCTCTTCCTTGGAGCCATGGTTACTGTGTTGGAGGGGGAGAGAGACCTAGAGAAAGAAAGAGAGAGAAGAGGGGAGGGGCGGGGGAGGGAGGAGGAGGCAAGACACAATACCCAGAAAATCTCATTTTTTTACACTCACGTCAGGTCAGGCTTAGATCCTTTACTTCAATTGGTAGGCAATTTTTTTTTTTTTTTCTGTTTTGTTTTGACAGGGATAACTTTTCAAATTAAATCCCTTTATTGAATTTTCACTCTTGGATAGTTTCTGAAGATGCTGCCTTTGCAAAAAAAGTAAAATAAAATAAATAAAATTAGAACTGATACATTTCATGCCTCGTGCAAGCTGAGCCTGAGATGACAGTTTGACATTATCAACCTCCATGCCTGCAGGGAACAGAGGAATAATGTCGGGTGAAAAAAAAAAAAAAAAAAAGTGCCGATCAGGGGAAGCAATGGCCTTGTTGTTTTTAGGATATAGAGTTATGTTCATTAAATGCCACAAACCAGAAAGTTGCAGCACCCCTAAAAAGCTCAAACAGGAAAACAATCTCGGTTCCATCCGGAGCTTTCCAAACAAGGGGTAGTCCTAGGAGACAGACCCCAACGCTCTTCCATCCGTTTTTATCCTGGGACTTTTTGACCCTAAGCATGTTCCAGACCAGCATCATCAGCTTCACCTGGGAGCTCCTTAGGAATGCAGAATCTCAGGCCCCTCCTGAATCAGAATCTACATTTAACCAGGTGAGGCATATGCGTGTTAACATTTGAGATGCCACGCTGTCCAGTTTTCGGACAGCCTGGTCAGCGAAGCTAGGTAGCTAGCTGGTCACCCTGACAACTGGTCAACTATGCATTCATTCTTCGAATAAATATTTATCAAGCTCTATCTATGTAGACACGGTGGCCTGTGCTGGAGACGGACTGTCGGACAAAGGCCTGCATAGCCCCTGCTCCCATAGTGACTGATGGAGAGAAAAGGCTGTGATCAAATGATCGTGTACATGGAATGTGTCACTTCAAACCGAGACGGAGCACAGTGAGGGGACGGAAGACAGTCAGATGAAAGCAAACAAACTGAGAGACCGGTGTAGACTGGGAGTTCCAGAAAGGCTTCCCCTAAGAATTGATACTGCCCCAGATTTTGTTATAGTTGTATGGTTTTGTTGGATGCGAGCTTTGGGGGAGCTAAGTGAAAATGCAGGGGAATTCTACTATTTTTTGCAACTTTACAATTATTTCAACATCTCGAATTATTTCAAAAGGAAAAGTTAAAAAAAAAAAAGAAATGGATGCTTCACCTGAGCTCTGAACCACTCGCAGTGACTGACTGCACTGAAGTCAGCAGGGACGAGGGGAGAGAGGCCGGTATCCCAGCCAGAGGAACAGCAGGTGTCTGAGCCTCACAGGAGACCTCGAACCTGCATGCTCCCAGACCTGAAAGCAGACGCAAAGCAAGGCCTGCAGGCGGGGAGGACAGGACAGAGCGAGAGGCGGCTGAGGAAATGGGCAGGCGCCACTTACGCCGCAGCCACAGGGGAGGGGAGAGCTTGGCCCTTTGTCGCCACAGCAGTGGGAAGTAAATGAAAGCCCTGAACAGACATGATTGCTTTCACCCCAGGAAAAGGCTGCCCTGGCTCTTGTGCAGGAAGCGAGCCCTGGGATCCCAGAGGGCATCCTCGGCTCCAGGGCAATGGGGGCGTCTTCACTGCACGGAAGAGGTGGGGCGGAAGCTCCGCTGCCGAGCTCAGGCTGTGCCAGGCACAGGGCAGGGCGCGTGGCATGACCGGCAGCAGCCCTGCCTCAGTTCATAAAGGAGGAGGGTGCTGGCCAGCTCAGACCCTACTCTCTCCTCCCATCGATTCTGCCAAAGAATATACTCCTTCTCCAAAAAGGAAGCAAAAGCTCCAGAGATGGAAAATCTCGTGGTGTGTGCACATCAGCGGAGCACGTGTGATTTCTGCAGAGTCTGGGCTGCAGGGGAGACCGGTGACCTTCTTTGAGTTGTCGGCCGGTAAAGCGCAGGTACTGCTGCCTTTGTGTGCAGAAGGGCTGAGGACAAGCAACAGACAGACACAGGTGCCAGGATGGTGAAGCTTCTGAGCTGTGAGGGATGTTTTTGAGACGGGGATGTCTCCATAATTAGATTGTCACTCTGCGGCTCAGTGCTGGGCAAACTCTAACAGCCTCATTGCTCTGTGGGACTGGAGATAGTCCGTTCTCTTTCTCTTCTCCACCCTCAGGACCTCTGTCTTCCTCGTCTCTCCTCTCCTCCTCCCTTTTCCTTCTGTACACTCTCCCTCTGCCATTGTCTTTTCCCTCTAGTGCCCAATCTTAGGTCTGGGGTACCTGGTCCTCTAGGTCTTGGACCTTTTGGGGAACCTCAGGACCAAAGAAGGAGAAGGAAAGTCATGTTGTTATTTAAATATGTTACTTAAACTTTCTATGACATGGCTTCCTCATCTGCAAAACGGGAACAACAACCTATACATTGTGAGGCTTCCTTACGATAAAGTATGTAAAGCGCTTGGCCTAAGTCTTGGTCCAAGGAAAGTGCTCCGTGGATGTGAGCTACTACAGGACGCATTATTGTTAACTTATTTAATTTACAGTGAAGAAACTAAGTCATAGAGAGCTTACGTAGGTTTTTCAAGGTCACACAATTAGTGAGTGGACTTTGGATTTTTTTCAGACATGAATTTAAATTCTGGAGTTGCACCTTCCTTTCCTCTACATCATGTCCCTACAGCCACAATCGCCACACCAGACGCAGTCCTGCACTGCACAACGTCTAACTAGGGTTGTTCTGAAACCTAAGGCGAGCGTTGGCCCGCCTGCTGCTGCTCATGGGGACACGCGGGACGCGTCCCTTCCCCGCGTTCTCAATGCCTTGGGTGGCTCCCAACACCACAGGGAGGCGTTGTCTGGGTGACATCTGATAAAATAAGGAAACAAAAAACAAATCAAAACAAAACAGCAGCCATCACAACAACAGAGCTTGGCAGAAATAAGGAATCTGGAACTGTCTCATTCCCTGGAAAGAAAACCACCCTGATTAAGTGGGTTGTCGAAAACTCCTAAGACGCTTCTGAATAACCGAGAACAGGGAAAGTCCTCCCGTCCCAATGACTTGGATTCACCGCCGGTGGTTTTCCTGAACACAGACGTGATTCGTGGCAGACTGATGAAACCAATATCACTGAACATCATGGAAAAGTCGGTTTACTTACGACCATCCACAGTCCTGGCCTCGAGATGCACGAGATCCGGTTCCTTGTTCGAACCCATCACGGACCTACAGGAACGAAGAGACATTGAAAAGGAACATCAACCTCAGTGACCTCACACGCGCCCTGGAGAAACTCAGCTGAGCCCACAGACGATCCCTGTCCACAGGATTCCAAAACCACCATTCTCGGGATACATCTACCATATTTCTTTATAAAGCCGGACAGTCGAATGTCCGCTTCTCATAGAAACGGTAAGGAAACCTCCATCTGGGGAAGGCCAGGCTTGGCTCTGGCAAAGCAGCCCAGGCCTTCCAAGGAGCCTGCACCGGTCTCCCTGACGGCACGTTCAACTCTCAGGACCGGGCGGCAGATGCCGGGCGGATGGTTGTCGCTGCGTGACTTGAACAGTGATTACACAGCCAACTCATCTAATTAATTCTTTCCTTGGAAATGTGCAGAACGACCTACTGCTACCCCAGGAACTATGAAGAATCACGTGCCCCACCAGCGTGCCCGCAGCACAGCAAAGAAGAAGCAGGCTCTGCATCGTCGAGCCCACGTTAGGGGGCTGGGACGTGGGGCCAGGGCACCGCGCCGCGTGGGCCGAAACGGTGTGTAAGCAGAGTAAAAGCTATTTCCGGCGCCTTGGAGGCACCCAGCGCAGTGGCATCTGGCAGAGAGCCGCAGTAAATAGAAAATAATTACTCCGTTACGCAAATACTACAGGCGTCATACTCTCTCTCTAAGACTTCTCTACAGGAAGATGCATTAAACTTGGGACCATCTATAATCTGTTTTTACCGGGATCTGCAGAACTTCCATTTCCTATGTTTCATTTTCACGTGGAAATTGTCACATGCCTCAGACCTGGTGCCTCGGCCTGCCCTGAGCCAGCCCAGCTGTCAAATCCATGGGAGAAAATACAAAAGGTAATGGCCTGGCTGGTTGCTCAGTGGTTAGAGCATTGGCCTGCAGACCAAAGGGTCAAGGGCTCGATCCTGGCCCCGGTCAGGCCCTACAGGACGCAACCAATTGATGTGTCTTTCTCACATCAATGTTTCTCTCTCTCCCTCCCTCACTCCCTTCCACTCTCTCTTAAAATAAAACAATAAAAATAAAAAAGGAAAAATATCCTTGGATGAGGATTAACAACATAAATTTTTTTTTAAATAAAAATAATCATCCTAGGCAGGACCCAGTGTGGCACCCCCGGCCCTGGCGGATGGGCCCATCTCCTGACACTGAAAGACCTGCTGTTCCCCAGAGGGGCCCTCCACTCCCAGCCCTCTGTAAGCCTCGGGAAGTTTCCGTCTTCAGCTTGAGATGCTCTTCTCCAGCTTCACCTAACTTTCTTGGACTCTGATTTGAAGACACAACTGAAAGTCACTTTCTCCACTGAATACGTCCCAGTTACCCCAGGACAGTCACTCTCCTCCTACAAACATTTGTTGTTTCTGTTGCGTAAAGCCTGTGACAGTTTGTTAGCACGATGCTGGTGTCTCCCCGGATACAGCAGTCCCTTCCGAAACACGCACAGCCTGACCCCGGTGAGAGCTACTGGAGATGTTTCCCAGATACACTGCTGAGCTATAACAGTTAAATGCTGAATGAAAGGAGGAGGAATAAATGAATGAAGAGGAGGGAAGGAGAGAGGGAGGGAGGGTGGGAATGTCATGGTCTGTGAGCTCTTCGAATACCTAAATTAATCACTGTCCTAAGGGCATTCATAGAACTCTTCTTTTTACACACACACACACACACACACACACACACACACACACACATGATTTTTTAGCGAGAGAGATAGAAACATCGATGTGAGAGAGAAACAACGATCGGCTGCCTCCTGCAGGCCCCTCCTGGGGATCCAGCCCGGGCCTGTGCCCTGACCAGGAATCGAACCAGGACCTCTCAGTCCATGGGGCAATGCTCAGTCCCCTGAGCCACACCGGCCGGGCAACCAGAACTCTTCTTACTTGAACTCATTGTTCCCAGTTCAAAGACTCTGAAACCTAGGTAACTTAGTCTCTCTTCATCATAGAAAGAAAGAAAGAAAGAAAGAAAGAAAGAAAGAAAGAAAGAAAGAAAGAAAGAAGAAAGAAAGAAAGAAAGAAAGAAAGAGAGAGAGAGAGAGAGAGAGAGAAGAGAGAGAGAGAGGAAGGAGTCTCAGTAAGGCCCTGTTATCACTGTAAGTTTTCTGAGTGATAGGTGGCCTGAAATTCAGTCCATGCCCCAAACAACAAAACCTGCTTTCTACCCGCAGAAAGCAGACGTGTCCCATAAGGGCTTACACTGTCCCCCAGACTGCACATCGCTGGCATCTGAACACGGGCACACGTGCCCCTTCACCGTCAAGGCAGCTCTGCTGCGGCAGTCTGTCCAGGGACATGGCTCTGCCCTTCCCGTGCCGCGGCGGTGACAGGACCCACGGGTGACCTCTTCTGACACGGCCATCGTTAGGAGCATTAAAGAGAAAACAAGCTCCCTGACCACCCTCAAGTCACAGAGCTCAGTGGTTAACTGGGTTTTGCAAATTACTCCTGGGTAGTCACAGGCTCTTCGCCTCCCACTCTGCCCACTGAGCGTGTCTTCCTTGAGGTGAGTAGCACCTCCCACTCCTAGAAGACCGGCACCCCAGGAACAGGGTACTGCAGCGAGCGTGCAATCTGCCTGGCTCACGCTAGTGTCAGCAGGAGGCAAAATAACTACTCTGCATCCAGTCGCATCGTGTCAAGTGCTCACGGCCCCAAATCAATAAAAGAAGTATTCTCTTACGATCTTTTGTTATCTCTAAAGGCAGGAGCTGTTGTTTCAAGCGACATGTCCCTCTTACTAATTAACGAAAAGAAACTAGGGCAGAACAGATCCTTTTGTTTTCTAGCGTCTGCTCTGCCTAACCAACTCCCTCACCCTGCCTGAATTTTTGTCCATCTGTAGTAACACAACTGCAATGACAGAATAAAACTTTAAAGTCAAACCACGGGGTTTCCAACTATTTTTATTTGCCGATGTGCTCATCCCTTGTCTTGGAGTCTAGGAGTACTTCCAGGTCTGCAGTCACAGGTTATAAAGAATTATTGCTGCTTTTACTTTCTGGCGAATTTAACTTTCTGGTGAATTCTCAAAAGCAGACACCAAATGGTACTCAGTGTCTGCAGAGGTGCTGGTTTTAATGGTCCTGTCACTGGCCAGACACCTTGCAGGAGCACACGGCTACAAATGAACCACAGTGCAGCATTTTGTAGTCCATTTATATGTTTTGGCTGGAACTGAGGTTTGGTGGTTTTCTGTGTATTTCAAACCAACTATTGAACTTGATGATAATGATGATGATGATGATGATGATGATGGTGATGATGATGATGAAGATGACAATAACGGATGGTTGCCAAGGGCTTTGGGGTGGGGCAAATGGGGAGTGGATGGTAAGTGAAAGGGTACACACTTTCCATTATAAAATGAATAAGATCTGAGGATCTAATGTGTAATAACACGGTGACTACAGCTGATAGTACTGTGTTCATAATTGCATTTTGCTAAGAGAATAGAAGTTACGAGTTCTCACACGCATGCACAAAGGTAAATACGTGAGGTGATGGATGTATGAACTCAAGTGTAAGAACCCCTTCACCATATACACGACACCCAATCATCTCATTGTGCACTTTAAATGTATCATAATTCTATCTTCCAGTTTTACCTAAACAATGCTCAAAACTTACAATAAATCAAAGAAACGCAGCATAAACATCAAATTTAATCCAAATGTTCGCTGGATCTTATTTTCAGAGTGAGATCTCAAGCAGGCTTCGGGTGTGTCTGGCCAGGAGGTCTGACCCCTGGCCAGAGCAGCGGGGGCCACCATGCTTTCTGCTGCGGACACCCCCACACAGGGCTTCGCCGTGCTTCTCCGAGGCGTGTTGCATCTCTTCGCATAAATGCTTCTCTTATTTCCCTGAACTCTGAAAAGGCAGATGCTCATCTGTATCAGTAAATTGTCTGTGCTTATGAACATAGAGAAAAAGTTCCCCCCAATAAATACATAGGTAACATTTTTACACTGGTCATATTTATCATACATGTGCTATGTTGGGTTGGTCTTCTGGGACTCAGAAAGAACCTCACCCTAAGTAAGAGAGGGTCCTTTAATTATATCACAAGGCAGTGGGGTGGCTGTATCTTGTATATCTTTATAGGTTGCCTTTATGTGTAAGTGGGAGAATAAAACTCCCTTCTTGACCTGAATCTCACATAAGGGAGGTCTTCGGGCCTTGGCAGGGACTGGCGCCTGGGTCCAGAGCGCCTCCTGACCCTCTTCTGCCTTGTTAACACCTCCACCTGCAGCTCAGCTGCAGCTGAGTGGAGTTGAAAATGGGCTTCCCAGCAGGGGTGCCCCTTCAGCTAAGCTGGCTCACTTCTGACACTTCCAGAACCATGAACATATGTTTGCATGGCCTACATGAGGCCATGTTGCAATGGGCGACTCGTTTGTCTATCTCACTTATTCACAGACAAGCTCAAATCTTTCTGAGTTTCCACGCAGGCACCGAACATGCCATGTATATATAGTCAATACACGTTGACTGAATGTTCTTGGATAGAGAAGAAGTGTTCAACCAGCCCTACCAGCCTTTATCACTTTGGCTGCGTGTGTGACATTTGGCAAGTTGCTTAACATCTCCGTACTTCGATGTTTTTTAATATATAAAGTGAGGCAGAAATACGCTTCCCCATAACATACTTCTCAAAGCACTTAGCAGATGCCTGGTACACAGCACGGGCTCAGAAAGGCATCTGACTCCTTTCTTCCTCCCCTTTCTTATTTCAGGAGATAGATGGAGAATATTAATTCTCATCTCAAAATTAAAATTAATGTTGGTAATAAAAGCTCCTTGAGAGATCATGGGTACCTTGTTAACAGAAATGATTAATCATCATAAATCAATAGACAAAAAAAAAAAAAAAGAGAGTCAACAGCCCAGAGATGAAGTACAAGTAAAAACACTTATTCTCTCACCGGAACATCTCAATGCCCTGCTGTGTGATCAGAACAAGGGCTGCAGGT